TATATATATAGGGGAAAATCTGATATCAGGTTATATCGGTATTAGAATAATGGTATTCCTCTGACGAAAAAGAGGAGGAGGAGGAGGGGGGGGTTTGATTAATGATCGCGAGAAGGAAAATTGCAATGTAGATTAGCGGTTCCTAAAATTTATCGAGGGGGGTAAGGTATATTACAGTTTTGCGAATAAATCTTTTCGGCCTAGATTCCCCTTATCGGGAGTATCGAGCACCGCGGTTAATCCTTCGTGACGCGGGCAACGATACCAATTCGAAACAGCCAATTTAAACGCTGAATACGTATATACCTTTTGATATCAGCATCGTCGATTTAATATTCCACTTGCACGCGACTAATCTCTTTCCTACGAGGTTTCTTTGACCTCGATATATCTCTAACCTCGAATTAATATCTTGGACTCTTTTTTCTTTTTTCATATACGAAACTCGAAATTCTGTCCTCTCATTCCAGATTCGCCTCAGAATTATCGGATCATCTAATTTCCTTCTCGCGTGGATAATTATAATATTTGGTTTATTTCAGCGATGCTGATATTTTTTATATCTCTAGTAATTTTATTGTATTATTTGTATTATTAATTTTAGGAAAATTGGAGTTTTATTCGAATTTCGAACTGTTGATTTATTAGATTATTTTTTTTTTTTTTAATTTAGATTAATGTTATCAAATTATCAAATTTAATAATATCAAATTTGTAATTTTAGTTTATCCTTTATATTTGAAATCTTTTTCCCTATATTAATTGAATTAACTTTCGAACACCATTTCTTGATTCAATCGAGTCGATTGTAGAAGAATATATTTTTTAATCTGAATATTTCTCTCCCTATTTTATTTGATTGATATTTTACAATCGAGTTTTCGTTAAAAACGGGAGAAGAGAGTATTTAGAATACGAGTGTCCAAGGGTAAATATTTTTCGTTAGATACGAGGGTGCCGTATATACTTTTATGCAAGGCTTTTTCCAAACCATTGTGCCGATACGGAGTCCCATTGTGCGCATGCGCATACACGCACACGCTGTTCGGAGTGTTAAAAATATTTGCCACGAAAAGAAATTGTTTTCCACGTTTGGGCCCCTTTTTAAAAACCACATCTGCCCTTTATATACATCGATTGGGGCTTGGATCAGGTTCCACAATCCCGATCTCCCTTCCGTTTCCGTTTTTCGCCCGATTTTATTCCTTTCTGTCTTTATCTCTCTCTCTCTCTCTCTGCAACAAATATGGCGCACAAGTACTTTCCTCTTTTCCTCTCTTTTTACAATTAAACCTTCTCCTGAAATAATTCGAGAGACGAGAATCAAGAAAAATTTCACAAATTCTTTCGTATCTCGAAAGAAAGAGAGAGAGAAAAATCCTGTTGCAACGCTTTATTAATCGAATCGCTTTATTCATTTTCGAACCGATCATCAATCCAATCCCAGTGCCGTTCCGATACGATCTCGATGCAGGAATCGTTTTTTCAGAAGACACATCGCTGCTCTCCCGACTACGACCTTGTCCCACTAACTGAGACTCACAGCAAATCGATCTCCTCGATTTCAATCCGAGTTCAACAACGAATTAATCAACGAACTTTCGAGTCGAAATCTTTTTCTTTCCTTCGTAAACAAGAAAAATAAATATATATATACATATTTAATATTATAGTCCTCGATAGAAATTGTTCAATAATTATTTCTAACCTATCTATCGCGACAAGTTTTTTACTCGAGATTTAATCGAAAGGTATTTTTAACCTAACCCAACCTAACTTAGGAAATATAATTTATATATAATAAAATATTAAAAAATATACAAAATTATATTTCTTAAGTTAAGTTAGGTTAGATTAGGTTATATATATATATTTAGGTTATAGGTATTATATTATATTATATAATCTAACTTAGGAAATATAATTTTGTATATTTTTTAATAACCTAACCTAACTTAGGAAATATAATTTATATATAATAAAATATTAAAAAATATACAAAATTATATTTCTTAAGTTAGGAAATATAATTTTGTATATTTTTTAATAAGATTAAATTTAATAAGAGCCCATCTGGATGAAAGAGGTTTGTCGAAGGTGGAGTCGAGGGAGACAGAGATTCGTAGAGGAAAGATAAAAGGGGGGGGATTAATACGTAATCGTTGTGATTCATTGGATAGATATAGGTGGACGGGAAATTGGTTGAAAATTATCGCATACACGTTCGATTAACATTCTATTCGCGCGAAACTGACACCTTGCGTCAAGCGATTGATGACGTCAATGTCGTCGTTGTGGAAACGACACGTTCACGCTTTGGAGAACAAGGAGAGGAAGAGAATAGAGAGAGAGAGAGAGAGAGAGAGAAGAGAGAAATCGGGCTCTGTTGCTCTGTATTTGCATGACAAGGGACGTTGATCTCGAGAAAGGGGAATTTCTACTAATGAAACGAAGCGAGACGAGTTCATGGGTGCGTCACGCCGATTGCGGATTTCGTGAGCTAGATCTAGAAATTTCGATCGTTGGGGGTGGATGGAATGGAATGGGAAAGAAGAATTTGTTAGGGGATTTGCTAAAACGAATTTTAATTTTCCAATGGATTTTATCGAGGAGGTAATATAAATGGAATATGTATATAGAAGAGGATTTAAAGATTATTTATGTGAATTCGCTATTGTTAATGGAAATAAAAAAAGAGATCGATCTATATCGTGAAGAATTACTATAAGAAATAATGTTAGATTTATATTTTCTACAGTTGAGTTTTATAAATCAATCGGTGGAAAGAAAATGGAAGAATCGTACGTGTGTTGTTAACGAAAAAGATTTCAAAGAAATATAATACCACTTTATCATTAATTATTATTTTTCCCCATTCTGAACATTATAGGATTCGATTTCTAAAGAAAAAAATCTCTATCGAAGAGTAAAACATGAAAATATATGCACACAGAATTACATTTTCTAAGTTAGGTTAGGTTAGATTATCTTTCAATTAAATCTCTCTTAAAAAAAGAAACTTGTCACAAAAGATAGGTTAATTATTAAATAAATATTATAATATATAATTATAAGTAATTATTATTAAATAATTTTATTATCAAATAATTAATTATTAAACAATTATTTAACAATGAAAAAGGATCCCTGTCAAGGAAAATATATATATATAAAATATACAAAATTTAAGTTAGGTTAGGTTAAAAATACCTTCCA